AGGAGGCTCTGGTATTCTAGCTGAACAATTCAGTTTTGTATAACAGATGGTGCATGGCCATTGTTTGAGAAGCCTCTGCTCACTGGTTGAGCCTTAATCAGGGGGAGGGGCTATCAGGCAGTCCAGGGCTTTATATAGCAGTGAGTCAGCGACCAGGGAGCTTGTGACCAGGGGCTGATAACAGGGAGTTTTGAGAGGGAGTTGGGAAGGGGGCACGATACACTTGCCATTCTTTAAAATCTTTTCACTAAACTATTATAAAAACTTCCTGAGCTCTGGTGGGCCTCCAGGGGTTGACTGCATCAGAGGCGAGGCTTTGAGCCAGGCCTAGCCTCAGCTGTCTAAAAAAGGCAGCCAGAACGAATGCAGAGAGCAACGAACAGGGCAGCAGCCCACACGGGAGTTTGCCTGGGAATTCATCCTGGGAGACTCCCGTAGTGTTTGGTGCTCTTTTCCTTGAAGACATTTTTTTTTCTTTTCTCTCTCCTGCCCTTCAAAATCTAAGGAACCTCTCAGAAGGGAGGCAGGTATGGATGGTGATAGGTCTGCTGTTGTTATCTGCACAGTATGTGCCACGCTTGTCTTCCTCCCAGAAAAAAGAAGGGATTTCATCTGCACTAAGTGCAAGCTGGTCACCATTTTGGAAAAAAATTTAGAGGACTTGAGGCCCGAGTATTGACCCTATGTTCCATCAGAGAGGATAAAGATTTCCACAGTAGAAGGCAGCATTTAATCCTGCAGGCACCGCAGGCTGAAGAGCCAGTGAGGACAGTACAGGACAAGGAAGAAAACTGGCAGCATGTAACATGTAGAGATAAGTAACTGCTTTCAGGCTCTCTCCACAAGCACTGCAGTGGAGAATGCTTTGGCAGGGACCTCCCAGGGAAGAAACCAGAAGGGAACACCAGCTACCAGAAAGCATGGGATGCGTAGTCCTAGGGATGGGGGTTCCACGACCACCACCCACAAAAGAAGACAACGGGAGGTGGTGGTCGGGGACTCCCTCCTAAGAGGGACTGCATTATCCATCTGTTGTTCAGACCTGCAATCTCGAGAAGTGTGCTGCTTACCAGAAGCTCGCATTCAGGATGTGACTGACAGTCTTCCAAAAGTGATCAAACCTTCGGCTCACTACCCCTTCTTGCTTCTCCATGAAGGAACTAACGATACGGCCAAGAATGACCTTGAGCGGGTCACTGAAGATTATGTACCACTGCTGGAAAGAAGAATCAAGGAATTTGAAGCGCAAGTGGTGTTCTTGCCCATCCTTCCGGTTGAAGGAAAAGATCCGGGTAGGGATCGTCGAATTGCGCAGGTGGTGTCTGAGAAAGGGCTTTGGTTTCTTCAACCATGGGACTCTGTTCCAGGCACAAGGATTGCTAGGGAGAGATGGGATCCACCTAACCAAGAAAGGAAAGAGCATCTTTGCGGGCAGGCTTGCAAACCTAGTGAGGAGGGCTTTAAACTAGGTTCCTTGGGGGACAGTGACCAAAGCCCTGAGGTAAGTGAGGAAGTTGGATATCAGGAAGAAACACAAAGAGGAACGAGCAACAAAGAAGGACCCCTGACTTGAATGGAGAAGGTAGGGCGATCAATTGGTTATCTAAGGTGTTTGTACACAAATGCGAGAAGCCTGGGAACCAAACAGGAAGAATTAGAAGCCCTGGCACAGTCAAAGAACTATGATTTGATTGGAATAATGGAGACTTGGTGGGATGACTCTCATGACTAGAGCGCTATCATGGAAGGGTATAGACTGTTCAGGAAGAACAGGCAGGGAAGAAAAGGAGGAGGAGTTGCATTGTATGTAAGAAAGCACTATGATTGCTCAGAGCTCCAGTATATAGAGGGAGAAAAGCCTGTTGCGAGTCCATGGGTTAAGTTTAGAGGTGGAAGCAACGGGTGATGTTGTGGTTGGTGTGCGCGATCGACTGCCGGATCAGGTGAATGAGGCTTTCTTCAGACAACTGAGAGAAGCTTCCAGATCACAGGCCCTGGTTCTCATGAGCGACTTTAATCACCCTGACATCTGTTGGGAGACCAATATAGCAGTACACAGACAATCCAGGAAGTTTTTGGAGAACGTTGGGGATAACTTCTTGGTACAAGTGCTGAAGGAACCGACTAGAGCTTGACCTGCTGCTCACAAACAGGGAGGAACTAGTTTGGGAAGTAGAGGTGGATGACAACCTGGGAAGCAGTGATCATGAGATGGTACATTTCAGGATCTTGACCAAAGAGTCAAAATACACACCCTGAATTTCAGAAAAGCAGACTTTGATTCCCTCAGAGAACTGATGAGCAGGATTCCCTGGGATGCTTACATGAAGGGGAAAGGAGTCCAGGAGAGCTGGCAGTATTTTAAAGAAACCTTATTGAAGGCACAGGAAGAAACCTTCCCAATGCGCAGCAAGAAAAGCAAATATGGTAGGCGACCAGATTGGCCTACCGGGGAAATCCTTGGTGAGCTGAAACACAAAAAGGAAGCTTACAAGAAGTGGAAATTTGGACAGATGACTAGGAAGGAGTATAAATATATTGCTCAAGAATACAGGGGAATTATCAGGAAGGCAAAAGCGCAATTGGAATTGCAGCTAGCAAGGGATGTGAAGGGTAACAAAGAAAGGGGCCCTTACTGGATGAGGGAAGTAACCTAGTAAGACAGATGATGTGGGAAAAGCTGACATACGCAATGCTTTCTTTGCCTCTGTCTTCATGGACAAAGTCAGCTCCCAGACTAATGCACTAGACAACGCAGTAGGGGAAGGAAGTAGACAGCCCTTGGTGGGGAAAGAACAAGTTTGGAACTATTTAGAAAAGCTAGACATACACAAATCCATGGACTGGATTTAATGCATCTGAGGGTACTGAGGGAGTTGACAAATGTCATTACAGAGCCTTTGGCCATTACCTTTGAAAACTTGTGGAGATCGGGAAATATCCCGGATGTTTGGAAAAAGGTAAATGTAGTGCCCATCTTTAAAAAAAGGGAAGAAGGACAACCCAGGGAACTACAGATCAGTCAGCTTTACCTCAGTCCCCGGAAAAATCATGAAGGGGATCAAGGAATAGTCAACATGGATTCATGAAGGGCAAGTCGTGCCTGACCAATCTGATTAGCTTCTATGGTGAGGTAATTGGCTCTGTGGATATGGGAAAGTCAGTGGATGTGATATACCTTGACTTTAGCAAAGCTTTTGATACGGTCTCCCACAATATTCTTGCCAGCAAGTTAAGGGAGTATGGATTGGATCAATGGACTGTAAGATAGATAGAAAACTGGCTAGGCTGTCGGGCCCAACGGGTAGTGATCAACGGCTTGATGTCAGGCTGGCTGTCGGTTTCTAACAGAGTACCCCAAGAATCTGTTCTAGGACCAGTTTTGTTCAACATTTTTATGGATGGCCTGGATATGGGGATAGATTGCACCCTCAGCAAGTTTACAGATAACACTAAGCTAAGGGGAGAGATAGATCGGCTGGAGGACAGGGATAGGGTCCAGAGTGACCTGGACAGATTAGAGGATTGGGCCAAAAGAAATCTGATGACGTTCCACAAGGAAAAGTGTAGAGTCCTGCACTTGGGACAGAAAAATCACAAGCATTCTTACAGGCTGGGGACCGAATGGCTAAGTAGCAGTTCTGTAGAAAAGGACTTGAGGATTACAGTGGATGAGAAGCTGGGTATGATGAGAAGCTGGATATGAATCAACAGTGTGCCATTGTAGCCAAGAAGGCTAATGGCATATTAGGGTGCATTAGGAGGAGCATTGCCTACAGATCCACAGCAGTGATTATTTCCCTTTATTCGGCTCTGATGAGGCCACATCTGGAGTATTGTGGCCAGTTCTGGGCCCCCCACTATGGAAAGGATGTGAACGCATTGGAGAGGGTCCAGCAGAGGGGAACCAGAATGATTATGGGGCTGGAGCACATGACCTATGAGGAAAGACGAAGGGTATGTCTACACTACAAAGTTAATTCGAACTAACAGACATTAGGACCAAAATTATTAGGTGGCTGGAGCACATGACCTATGAGGAGAAACAGAGGGATTTGGGTCTGTTTAGTCTGCAGAAGAGAAGAGTGAGGAGGGATTTGTTAGTAGTCTTCTATTTCCTGAAGGGAGGTCCCAAAGAAGATGGAGAGAGGCTGTCTGCAGTAGTGACAGGTGGCAGAACGAGGAGCAATGGTCTCAAGTTAAAGTGGGAGAGGTTTAGGTTGGACATTAGGAAAAAGTATTTCACTAAAAGGGTGATGAAGCACTGGAATGAGTTACCTAGGGAGGAGGTGGAATCTCCATCCGCAGAGGTTTTTAAGTCTCGGCTTGACACAGCCCTGGCTGGGTTGATTTAGTTGGGATTGGTTCTGCCTTGAGTAGGGGGCTGGACTTGATGACCTCCTGAGGTCTCTTACAGCTCTGATTGTTCCAGATCATGAAAAGGATTATTTCCCTTATAAATTAAACAGATCCATGTTAAGAAAAAAAAGTTTTATTTCAGATTACATATTTTTCCCTAACAAAAACACCAAGGGAAAGGATGTAGGCACGAAATATACTTAAGATCACACAACAAAAAAATTGTATTTATCCCTGACATTAGTTGGTACTCCAATATAAAAAAATGCTCCTATCAAAGGTAAGGAAAGAGAGTAAGCAAAGAGATCAGCTAAGTTAATGTTTTTATTCTTCGGTTTTCAAACACATCAAGCTCATTTGGTGGTCTTATTTTCAAAACTCCCTTCATTTTCCTGGCACAGTCACTCCTGTTTATAGCAAAGTTTAGTCCACCCTACACATTGAGGCTATGTCTAGACTGCATTCCTCTCTCGAAAGAGGAATACAAATGAAGGACATCGAAAATGCAAATGAAGCACAGATTTACAAATCTCGCGCTTCATTTGCATAATTGTATCTGAGCGCTTTTTCGAAAAAGGGTTTTTCGGGGGGGGGGGGGGAGGAAAACCCACAAAAAAACCACACCATCCACCCCCCCCCCCCCCCCCCCCCCCCACCACCACTTTTTTGAAAGAATCCTTACTCCTTAAAAAAAAAAAGTGAGATTTAAAGGTTCTTTTGAAAAAGGGTTGCTTGGACACGATTATGCAAATGAAACGCAGGATTTGTAAATCCGCACTTCACGTGCATTCCTCTTTTGAGAGAGGAATGCAGTCTAGACGTAGCCCGAATGACAAGTTCTAGTTAGATACACTTTGCAGAAGAGTAATATTGTCCCCCTTTAACATGATCCGACCTGTAACACAAAGGAGAAGGAAAATGGCAGTTAGAGATTATCCTCAGATCATAGAACATCTAGTTGTCAAAATTTTACGTTTTGTTCCATACAATTTACAAAAAGAGGTTTGCAGGGTGCCTGTATAGAGCTGCTTATTATTACTGTATAGTGTTATTATCTATTAGCATGCACAGTGGGAAAAATTGCAATACACATAAGATACTTCTCATTAGGAATGTGAGCATGTACTCGTGTACATGGTTACACACAGCCACCTGCACTGCTGCCTCTGTATTACGGGGGAAGGAACAGGCTGGCAGGGGGCTGCCTCCGATACATTTAACATCCCTCCTTCGCATTACAATCAAATACAATACTACAGACAGGCTATCCCTGTGTATGCAGCACAGAGCTCCAAGGCTATATGTCTATGGTGATCCTCTCAGTCTACGAGTGACATGAGAATCACCGTGTTGCAGGGTATGAGTAATATTGTGAGCCCAATCCTCTGCTTCCTTGCAATATACCATAGTGCATCATGATAAAAGCCATCCTGGCTAGGAATCAGAAGACACCACTTTTTTCAGATTCACTGTTTATCTCTGGTACTTGGCAAATGGTGAGCACCAAAAGGAAATCCCATGGGGATGACAGAGGAAAAAGCATTCCCTGCATTGACTAAGGGAGGTGATGGGACAAGATAACTAGGCACTTGTGGCTGGCCTAGGCCAGCTCTGGGACACACCCACCTCACAGGATCCCAGAGCCCTGCCTCCAGCCTAGGCACAAAGGTCTATACAGTAATGGAACAGCTTCATAGCCAGAGCCAAGTCAGCTGGCATGAGCCAGTCATGGGGTTTTCTTTGCTCTGTAGATATGTAGTGTGAGGGGTCTTAGGACTGTTGTATTTAAATAGGATTGTGTTCCTGACCATCATGGCTAATTGCGATTAATGGACCTATCCTTCATGAACTTAACTATTTATTTCCTGAACCCAGCTGCATCTTTAGGCCTTCACAATATCTCATGGCAACAAGTTCCACAGACTGACTGTGCATTCTCTGAAGAAGTACTTCCTTTTGTTTGTTTTAAATCTGTGGCCTATTAATTTCATGGGGTGAGTCCCAGATCATGTGTTATGTGAAGAGGTAAATATCACTTCCAATAAAAATGAATAATACAGGATAGAGATAGGGATGTATGGGAGTATGGCCTTTAGGTCGACCTAGTCCAGCCACCCTGACAGCCAAGGGAGGACAGAGAGCTGCTGTTTATGTAACCATCTGTTTAATGACTCAGATTAATTTTAGGACTCTGGCAAATAGGTAATTAGAATGAAACATTCATCAGCCTTCTAATACCAAGATAATTAACTAATAGCAGAACTAATGATCTTCCCAATTAGCTTCACTATCCTTCAGCTAATGTTATTTGTCCGCGCTGTATTTTAAATGACTGCCACACACAGGTTTCATATAGGCTACCTAGTGCCAGGAATCATTTAAACTATGCAGACGTACCCAGCTGTTTCCTTGATTTTGTTTTTGAGTGTATCTCCTCTGCATCATCCAGAACTAGGTTCATGTATTCATCAAAACCCTAAGAAACAACAACAAAAGCGGTTAGTGAACAAAATCACTAGTCTCACGCCTCACTGATCGGAATAACAGCTTGAGTTGTTTTCACTAAGTGGGGTACAGACACATTAAATTGATCCAAGAAAGACAACTGCTTGGAAAACTGGAGGTTATTATTCATTGCACTTTTTTCTGGAGACGTGCAAGTGGAACTTGTGAACTGGAAAAACAAATGAACAATGTAAGGTGCACACATCGGTACTCACAATGATACAGCCTTCTATCCGCATGTTCACCTGTTCGTAGAGCCACACCTGAATCCTGGACCTCTGCAAAATTGAGGGAGGATATAATATTAGCACAAGTACTCCAAGAAAACAGTTATTCACTAATATATACTATAATGTAATTTTTAGTTAAATAATCTTTGTGGTTTCTTTAAGACAACAAAAGATATGACACTCAAAGTAGGACTCAATTTTGTCCTGAAGCATCTTTTATATAAAAATCTATGTTTTCTCTCCCATTAGTAAGGATTTATGAGCATGTAAAGGAATAAATTCTAGAAAGTACACACTAGTAAAAGTCTGCTTGGGCCTAATTTTAAAGTCTGACCTCAACCCAACTAGACCATAAAATCTCACGATCAGATTGGCTAACTGTTTTCATATCCATTCACAATACTTGTCGTCAGGTCCCACTGAATGTATGTCAGGTTGACTGCCCTAGGCCCTTGCAACACACTTAGTGACGATAGCCTATCAGATATGAGTAGCATTTGAATATATGTTATACAAATAACACCCAACCTGACCCTAGCACTTGCATTCAGATCCTGTCTAGTTGCCAAGATCTACACACACAAATGTATCACTTTACTTTAACATCAAACCTTTAGTATGTATTAATTACTATTAATTGGCATACTAACAAAATATTAAAGTTAGAACTACAGTGCCATTGGCTGGTGGTAAGATATTCAGCTTAAACATCAAAAAAGCTCATACGTTTCTCTCTCATGCAGAGATCCAGTTAGGTGCTTGCGTTACATAATTTTTGCTCTAAACCAGTGGTCCCCAACCTTTTTGTGGCCAATAGCACATTCATGTTTTCAGAAGAGTGTGGCGGGCGCCAACAAAAAAAGGCATCAAATGTGAAATTGAAGGCTATTTTCTTATTAAATGTGAATTCGGTACATTTGATAGAAACTTAATTTAGTTGGATAATTTTTATTTTAATTATATTGTAATTCATTTTTAAACAAAATTCTACATTAATAAAAAAGGGGGGGATGTCCAAATGTTGAGCAAAAAAAGCGCCCCCCTCCCCCCCAAAAAAACCATGGCACCTTTAAATTTCACACTCCCTTCCACATGGCAGGGGAAGAATGTCCCAAGTGGCTTTCCAGCTGAGAAACTGAAAATACCAGACATTTTACTGGGGGGGGAGAGGTGTCAGGACAGGGGTTTGGATTGCGCCTCAGGGCAGAGGATTGGGGTGCAGTGTCTGGGGGGGGGGTTCTGTAGG